CCTGTATAGGCGGCAAAAGGATTTCTTGTGAGTTACTGGAATAACTCAACACATAGAGGTTACAGTGTGTGTTTTCCACGGTGGGTCTGCTCTCAGCTTCTGTATTGAGGGGCTCACAGGACCCGCTAATGAAGTATATGCTGGGAGAGGGGTCGCAGGGGAAGGCAGTCTCTGTTCTGAACTGCTGGGAATTCCTCAGTCTGCCTGGGATTGGTGACTTCTGTGTTTCAGAAGCCACCTGTTAATAGATAGTCCTATAGTCCTATGGTTCCCCCATAGCAAGAGCTCAAAGTTCACATCAGTTACCAACCCCTTAATAGATTGATTTCTTCCGGAGCTCAATGGAGACTTTCCATTAACCCAGTGGTGCCTGAGCCCCATCTAATTGGTGATCACAGCCAAGCCGTGGCAATGGGAACAGTTACAATCCAGCGGTCCCATTCTAACACATATCCACGGCGTGACTCAATTCATACCTGATTGGAAGCAGAAGGAGTGACACCTGATACTGGAAGGTGACTTGCTCATAAGCCATGTCTCCTAAGAGAGAGTGGAATAGGGCAACCAGAATTAGGGGGAAGGGAAAAGCCCCCAGCTTGTCTGCTGCACTGACAGCAAGAACCCTTTAATCTGTATTTTAAGAACATTTTAAAAGAGCTCCTGTGCCCAGGCCTCCCTGAGGAGAGTGCTCCCAGCCGCCCAGTGCTCTCAGCTGGGGGCAGGCTGCACCACCTCCCTTGCCCATCTTCGTGACAGCCCCACATCCTTCTGCATTGTCTCAGCATGCCAGCTCTGCAGGAACTCAAGTGGAGCTGGCGTGCCTGTTCTGTTGGTTTTGTGCATTTTAGATATTTTCTGTAGCCGTCTGTGTGGTTCAAGTTCATCTCCAGGTACTACTCATTATCTTTATGAGTGCTTGTTTACAAAGTGCCTGGCTTTTGCGGGTTGGCGCCAACTCTGTATCTCCTATAAGCCCTGTTGTTTATTTTGGGCGATTTTGCAGGATACGGGGATTTTTAAGAACACATGTTTGATGTTCAAGCAGAAACCTTGGACTGTCTTTTCAGTGGGAAGCAGGGCCAGGGGAGGGGTGAGTGAGGCACCCCAGGGACCACCCTGGGAGATCCCGCAGGTGCAGGTTGGGAAGGCTCACTTCCTTACTTCTGAGATCCAGTTGACAAGGCAGATACGTGGTCTTGACACCGATCATAACACTGACCCCCCTACACACACACACACACACACCCAGCAGCCACAACTCAGGGTTCAAGGCATGGCCAGGCCTGAGGGGGCCACACACAAGGCCCCTACAGACCAGGAGTTACCAGGGTTTGAGAAACAATTATGGGAGAAAAACATAAAATTTGCAACTTTTATAATTGGTTTGCCCTGAATACTGGAAGATTACCAGCATTCTTCTTCTGGGCAATGCCCTAGCCCAAGGGACAGAACTCCCCAAGCACAGCATGGGGACCCCTGCGGCAGCATGCCTAGCAGCATCCACTGAAGGTTCTTGAGCAGGGGCTGCTGAGGGGCAAGGGGGTGCAGACAAAGGAGGCTGAGCAGAGGTCCCCTGCAGGATGGGGTACACTCCTCTCTGCTCCCTGTGAACCCAAGGACAAAGCGTGCAGCTGAAGGGTTTAGATCTGATGTCCCCACAGCACACAGTGACCCAGGGAATGCTGATGGTGGTGTCCAGGGGAAGGTGCCAGATGAGCACCATGGCTCACAGAATCAAAGCTCTTCGGGCTTGCAAGTCAGCTGGACCTTCAAGAGCATCTGGCCAAGACCTTCCTGTTAGAGATGGGGAAAGTGAGACCCAGAGAGGGGCAGCAACTTGTCCAAAGTTATAGAGCAAATTGGAGGCAGAACCAGAATTATTAGGACATAGCTCTTCTGAGCCTGAGCCCAGCAGCCTTCCCCAGCCTCCTGGTCAACCAGGTGGTCAGCCACCTCCATCTCACCTGTCGTGGAAACCAGCCACCCCTCAACAGCTAAGACCTCAACAGCTGTGAGTGCTTTCACTGGGTCAGGCCCCGCCCACGGTGCTGGGGACACAGAGATGGTCAGATGAGGCTCATGCCCACAGCAGCTTGCTGCTCCTACAAAGGGGCTATGACCAGGGGCCCAGCAAAAATTCCGTCCTATGGCTGGAGGAACGGAGAGTAAACGAACAAATATATATACGTTCCAGAAACAAAATGCGAGAACAATGGATTCTGCTGGGGAAGTCAGGGAGACTTCCTGGTAGAGGGGGCAGGGAAGTTGGTACTTGAAGTCTGGTAGGAAATTCTAGGCAGAGGGAATGGCATAATCAGTGCACAGGCTGGGACTAAGACCCAGAAGACCCTGATACATTTATGGAGGGGGTGTGGCCAGGCAGCTACTGCACTACCTGTTTGCATACTGAACCATTTAATCTTCCCTCCAACCGGGTGCTTATATTATGACCGTTTTCTCCGACAATTGGGCAGGTGTCTGGTGTGTTAGGAGTGTGGTGGGCTGTACTGGACTGGACAGTGCAAGGGATGCCGGGGCCTGGGAATGATTAGGGCCACCCTGATCACCCCCACCCTGCACTGCACACAGGTGCAGACATTCCATGGAGATCTGCTACAGCACATGGAGAAGAACACGAAGCTGGACATGCAGTTCATCAAAGTAAGTGTGGCCCCCCCCACCTTGGCCCCCCAGCCCATCACCGCAAGACGGCCGCTCCCTGTTTGATGGATGAGCACCCCGAGGCCTGCGCCCCAGGCTGTCCATGTTTCCAGCTGAGCCCCCCGGGGCCCTGTCCAGTGCTCCGACCTGTGGACCTGGAGTCTTGAGCTCTTTGACACGGGGGTCCCCCTCCTCTCTCCACCTTCCCCAAGGACAGCCGCCAGCACTATGAGATGGAGTACCACCATCGATCCGCCAACCTGGAGAAGTGCATGTCTGAGCTGTGGCGCATGGAACGCAAGAGGGACAAGAATGTGCGGGAGATGAAGGTGCAAGAGCTGGGGGCAAAACCAGGCTCTGGGGGGACCCCCTGACACCCTCCTGAGCTCCCGTGCCCAGCACTGGCCCAACTCCAGGAGGGCCGTCTGCCCCACGCTCTGTGGTGAGCATAGCGAGGGAGGTCAGCAGGCCCGTGGTGGGTGGGCACCCCTGGCCCTCAGGCCCACCTCAGTGCTGATCCTAGCGTGGTCACTGCCCGGCCTTCCTTCTACTTCACGGAGAAAACCTAAGGCCATCAGCCATGCTGCTCCTGATCCAAGGTGTAATTCCCCAGCAGCGCAGCCATCCTCTGCTCCCTCCTGCCCTGGCAGTGCTCCCCTGCCCCTGGCCGGGGCCAGCCCTCCTCCCAAGCTCAGGGCCCCATCCCTGGCCTCAGTCTCCAAGACTTCTATCTCCTTTCCTGTCTCCTCTTCTGGCTCCTTTACTAAGCTCTTATCTCTCCTCCTCAGAATCTACCCTCCCACGTAGGGACTTAAATTAACTCATTCACATTTCCTTAAACCAATCTCCCTGGGCCCCCATTCCGTGCCTGGCCCCGTGCCTGGGGCTGGGGGCAGAGCGATGGCTCAGACACCAGCCCTGCCTGTGAGAAGGGCCTGGCCTGGGCAGACACAGAGCCCAGGCTCAGGAGGATGAGGATGCCCATGAGAGGTGGGCCTGGGAGCTCTGCTGAGCTGGGTGCTCAGGGGAGGATCTCTAGGAGGAGATGGCTGATTCAGGAAGGACAGGAGGCTTCAGACAGCTGGTACTTGTGGAGGGTGGGATGAGGCATCCACTCGCTGCCTCCAGCCAGAACCTGCTTCTCCCACAGGAGAGTGTGAACCGGCTACACGCACAGATGCAGGCCTTTGTGTCCGAGAGTCAGCGGGCAGCTGAACTGGAAGAGAAGCGGCGCTATCGTTTCCTGGCTGAGAAGCACCTGCTGCTTTCCAACACCTTCCTGCAGTTTTTTGGCCGGGTGAGCTGGGGCTGGGGGACAGCTTACAGGGCCTTCCTAGGGTCTGTGCTCTCTGTGAGCTGGCTGCCCACGGGGATTTCCCTCCCTTCGCCCATTTCCTTCTATCCTTCCTCTCTGTAGTTATTTATTGTTTACTGTCCCCATCTATTTCTTTGGTTGTTTCTGTGTTTATTTGTATCATCAGATACTCCTTCATGATTTTGTTTATTCTCACATTCATTCACTAATTCATGCCTTTATTCACTCATGTATGAACCATTTATTCTTTCATTCCTGCTTGCATATACTCACCATTTGCAAATTCATCAATTCATAAGTTTATTTTGTTATTGCCTATTACTTTTATCATATTATTTAAATCCTCTATGCTCTTGCTCTGTTCCATCTACTACACCAATCAGATTCTTTCATTTCTCATTGGCTTTCTAGCAGATTCTGCTTTCTGTATTTAACTGCCATGTTGTTTAGTGCTGTTGGGTTTACAACTATCATACCTTCTCTGTAAATGTTGCCATTTATGTATTTAATATCTCATAATCCAGCTTGATGCTTCTCACTTCACTTTGTCTGAGATTAAAATTACCCTCCTTTCTCTTCTGTTAACTCTTTGTTTTAAGATTTTATTTATTTATTTATTTTTAAAAGATTTTATTTATTTATTTGACAGAGATAGAAAGAGAGCACAAGTAGGCAGAGCAGCAGGCAGAGGGAGAGGGAGAAGCCGACTCTCTGCTGAGCAGGGAGCCCAATGCGGGGCTCGATCCCAGGACCCTGGGATCATGACCTGAGCCAAAGGCAGACACTCAACTGACTAAGCCACCCAGGCACCCCAAAGTTTTATTTATTTAAGTAATCTCCACACCCAAGATAGGGCTTGAACTCATGATCCTGAGATCAAGAGTTGCACACTCTTCTGACTGAGCCAGCCAGGCACCCCTTTATCTCTTTGTTTTAAGTGTGTTTTCTGTCACTAACATATAGCTCAGTTTTGACTTTTGACCAGTCTGGCAGCTTATGTCTTCAGATTTTTTTTTTTTTTATTTGAGAGAGAGAAAGAGATAGAGAGCATGAGAGGAGGGAGGTTCAGAGAGAGAAGCAGACTCCCTGCCGAGCAGGGAGCCCG